GGGGGTGCTCTCAAGGCTTAGTTAATGTGTTCGCCTCTCATTCAATATGTCACGGGTTGGAATCCGGATACTGACGGAAAATTATCTTTTCTAAAATGTTCTCCTTTCACAGACAGTCCTGTTCTCTAACAATGTTCTGTGGTCTGCTTTCGTCTCCACTTTCTGCCTCCACTCCTTAGCTTCTTTGTCCCTCTTCTAGGCCTCTGACTCTTTCTACAACTTTTCACTGTTTCTCCTTGGCTCCTTCTTACTGTTGTCTTTCAGCCAAACCCCTGATCTTATGGTAGGAAAGATCTACACCTAACCGTCTCGGACAAGGGCGAACAATCTAGAAGGTCGCGTGTTCAAGTTGCGAACGTTAAAGATTTCTTGGTGGTCCAAAATCGATACGAGTAGGCACCAGGGCAAAATAATATACTTTGTAATAGTGCAGTTTTTTCCTTTTATTGGTGGTATCCTGTAAGTCGGATTGTTTATTAAATTCTGATATATTTATTTGCATATTTGATCCTTAATATTGATTTTAAAAAGTAAAAATGCATTTTAAAACGATCTATTGCTGAATCTTGAGAAGAATAAAGACGATTTTGGGCCGTAAGGGGGGGGGGGGGACTTGAGGCGCGTATATTCGTTTGTCATGATCAATTGGAAACTTTAATAAGGGATAGCTACACTGCCAATCTTGAAACATAGTATACTATGCGTAGCTGGTACGGATATTGTTTAAAATTCTTGTACCTGTCCTATTGTTCTTTTGGGATGTTTTCTGTGGTTGTGAAAGAAATGAAATTGGTATAATACTACATTGAACTGATTAAACTGTAGGTAAGTAAACCAAAGTAGTGGGGAGGGGGGGGTTGCAACTCATTAAAAAAATATTTAACCAATTGTTTATCCTATTTCTATCTGCAGATTGTACACAGTTCATAAGGTGATACATGTAGACCAAGTTGAGAGCAACAATTAGTTAAGTCCAGCAAGCATTATACATAATTATCATAAAATAATATCCTGCCAGCAAACATCCAAAAAATGAATAGACAGATGAAGATATTACTGATGAAAATGCTGAGGCAATTGAATGCTCAATGTTTGGATCCTGTATAAAAGACCAATACAGGCGACTGTGATTTAGCTGTTGGTTGCTTTTCTGTCGCTCAAAAAAGAATGTTAGCTTGATTTCTAGAGTACTACGGTCTTTATGCTTGGACGTTGTGTGTCTCTCAGCACAGGTTGGCCATCACAGGCAGGATGAAACCCGCTTCCTAGATTTTATCTAAACTGTGTCCATAGCTCCAAAAAAAAACCCAACTGCTTCATATTTTCTAAAAAATACACTAAAGACGATCCTGAGCCGCCGTAGTCAACCCACTGGACTGTCTTAGATTTTAAAACACATAATGGCACAGACGCAGACTAAATATTCAGATACAGGAAAGCCACCCGTATGCAACCCATTCCAGGCAGAATGGAAAAAGCGGTTGGGTCTGAAGCACCAACAACAAAAAACAAAACAACAACAAAAAACAAAACAAAACAAAAACAAAACAAGAAAGGAGGAATGTATTGCTTCATGTTTCTCCCAACTCAGAAAAGATGCAGATTGTCTAAGTGCAATAACAAGAGAGCATGCGACACATGCCCTTCCTGAATTCTGAATAAGAAATGCTTTCAAGCGCACCATCGCCTGTAAATGTCAGAATTGTTTTCCCTTTCCCGGTTTTAAAATATATTTAACTATCATTTTGTAACACCCCACAATTATATTTGATGATCGGAAATAATAGAAGTCTTTAAAATTTCAAATATTGTTACTGTTTACATGTTTTGGTCTGCTTGCTTACTGCGTTCAAATTTTCGCGTGCCCATTCGTGCATGGCGCCCAACGTGTTGGGCAAGATTTAAATCGGTCACTAATAGCAAAATATACGTTTTGAAGAAGAAAACAAAAATTGGGGAACCTTTCATTACAACTAGAAAGGAAGCATAATATGTGAAAGTAAGACCAAAATGTAAGACCTCATGCTTGCACTAACGGTTTAAAAGTAATGGAAAACACGTTAATCGTTAGTCTTTTTTTACTTTAAACAATGAATCACAATATGTTTACCCCAACAGATTAGCTTTGTCTTATACAGGGTGATCAACCCCCCTCCCCCCACCCCCGAAAAAAAACACCAAAAAAACGAAAAAAACTTTTTGTCTGAACATCTCGCGCAAACGGTGTACTAGAATTTTGTAATTTGTAACAGATATGATTCATTTAAAATGGATTTGTTTGCCTGGAAATTCATAAAGAATAAATTTATTTTTTAAAAAGCAAAACGGAAGTGGCTTCTATAAAAACCACACATGAACAGAAAATGCCACAATTTAAAAGATCATGTAAGGAAAGTCATGAAATGATTGGTTTGTTTTTTTTTCATTTCCTTTTCTTTTTAAAATCTAATTTTTCCACCTCTAACTTTTAAACAATAATATTGCTTTTCTTTTGAAATTTTGGACTTCTAAAATTCCGAGAAACCAGTGCTCAATATGACCTCCTTTGGACTTGACACATTTGAACGTGTCGTTCGTAATGTTCAGAGGTGGCCAAACACCAGGATTCACCCAACCATTGGTGCTCAAAGCTGCATACACTGTGCACTTTACAGTATGGAATTGTTTCTAGAGATAGAGACAATAGGAGGTAGAGGATATTGCCCAATAGACAGCATTTGTGAAGTTAACAACCGAAAAGGTGAATAATAAATAATATGGGTTTTGCCACTGAACCAACTGTCATCGAGGAAATGCTCACGACGGAGGAATCATGAACACATTGCCATTCTCTGATCCATATCAGCTTCGCCGTCAGGAAAACGTTAAAGTCGTAGATGAAGATTGTTCATAAGAATGCAGACCGTTGAGGTGTAGAAAAGTCCTTGTTGCAGATATTAACAACGGACAGGCGTCTCACATGGCTCATCTACTGAATTCTGCACCCTCGTGACTTTTAAAGGGATGCACACGGTGTGTGTTTGACCTGAAGTAGTCGTTTTGTCTGGGAATTTTTAGTTCTAATTCTCTACAGGTCCTATCTGATGAATCCTTTCCATCAATGACATCAAAAAAGACCTTAAGGGCATTTTAACACAACGTCCGTACTTTGAGCGAAATTTACGAAATGAGTTGGTGGTGAGGAAAAATTCAGTGCCAACAAATTCTCCACTCTTTATTAATCTTAGCCATAATCTCAGAAAGCAAAGGAAACTTGACAAAAAATATCTGCAAACTTCTTTTGGACTCTTAGACTACTGTTGTTAGCAATATCACGCGATCGTTTGGACTACTAGTGGTAGGCCTAATGCGAACTAGTGCGTTATGCTACAATAATACAATAATGGGGGCATTGCTGATAATGGATTGCTGGTTCTTTTACGCGCTACGTAGAGCAAAGTTATTCTGTGGATTTACCTAAAATGAATATTAGCATAATTCCTTTCGACTTCCAAATATGTACAAATTTAAAAAGCAAAACTTCAGTGTGGAGAAAAATATTTACAAAAAAAGTTGTATGTTTTTAAAAATCCCCCTGTATTACTTAATACTAACCCAATGCTTTTTTGTTGTTGTTTTTTTTTGTTGTTCTGATCTTAAAGAAAAATCTTGTGGATTCTTTTCTACAGTTCCCTCCATGAACTTTTGGCAACCGAGGGCATTTAACTACATGAGAGTCCTATCTCTGAGTCGGCGCAAGTCCATCGCACTCACTACAGCTAGCATCGTCGTGGTCCTTCTCACTATAAACACACTAGTGAGTTTCAAGCTAACTGTGGAGAGAAAAGAGATGCCAGAAGAGATAGCCCTGGACAGATCGGTTATCTGCCCGTACATCAAGGCAGCTCAAATCATGCCGGAACTGTCCACGATAATCAACACGTCCTCGCCTGTCTCCGAGTTTCTGTCCCAGCCTGTGATTAACCCTCACCCATACGGGTACATTCATAACCAAGCAGAGAGGTGCCAGGAGCAACAACCCCAAATTCTCTTCGTTGTCCCTTCTGCCACGCATAATTTCGAACGGCGAAAGCAAGTGAGGAATTCCCGACTAATGGAGTTTGTGAAAAATGAATCCAACAGTGCTACGTTATTGTTTTTTCTGGGTTTTCCGGAGTTTGTGGGAAGAGAAACTGTAGGAGTCCAGACGAAAATAAATCATGAGTCGGAGAAGTATAAGGATATTATACAGATGGAGTTCTTAGACGTGTACGCGACTACCCTGCTCAAAGCGGTATCGGTGCTGAAGTGGGCAAGCACGTACTGCTATACCGCCACTTACGTAATCAGAACGGATGACGACATCCGACCGAATGTGACTGACGTTGTAGACGTCGTTTTTCGAGTCGGTGAGCAATACGACAATTTCGTATTAGGCTCAGTACGCACTGGCTGGGGTCCGCACAGACGGAAAAGGTCGAAATGGTACGTGTCCGAATTGGAGTACCCCGAACTGACATACCCGCCCTTTGCGCCAGGAGGGCTGTTGGCTTACCCTTTGGTTACGGCGAGGCTTCTATACGAAGCCACACTAAGGCTGAAGTTTCTATGGGTGGAGGATGTTTTCATCACCGGTATGTGCGCTGCCAAAGTCAATGCTACTTTACTGGGTGATCCAAAGTTCACGTTTGTACATAAGTGAGGTGCAGATTGTTAGACAGCACCACTGGTAGGTCATACTTTCTTCCTTTCTGTCTTCCTTTCTTCCTTTCTTCCTTTCTTTCTTTCTTTTTTTCTCTTTATTTCTTTTGAAACTGTCTAGTTGTCCTGCTTCTTCGCTGCTCTATGTTATGCCCATTATTTTTTTTTTAGGTGATTCGCTTTTTCGTTTAACTCAAAATGACCGAGGCACACTGTGATAAGTATGTTATTGTCGATCATCTCACCCTCCTCTCCAGAATACTCTTCTCCATCCCCCCCCCACCCCCCTTAAATATCGTACCCCCTTGTCTTGGTACTGTTGGTACTGCAACCTAACCCCGTATTCCATCGTTTCGTTATCACCGTTAAGTCTCTTTCACATAATTTCTTTGCCTCCACCCTACTCCTCCACACCCCACGCCAACCTACTATACTAACAAACCCTCACCCCCATCTTTCACAAACATCGGGGTCCGGTCAACACTCTCAAGACAATTTTTTTGGAAATTGTGTTGTAGTACTACTGCGTGTGCCTGTATACTCTGTGCATGTTTATTTATAAGCGTGAGAGAAGGGGGGAGGCAAGGCGAGAGAG